TTATTTGTTATTCCATCTCTCCATTCCAAGCCCAATGGAAATCTCGTGATCTGTGTACAGTGTTTGTGAGTGTCAGAATATATATTATTGACTGCAGCTGTGCTTCCATTGCATTTGGGATTACAGTCAAATTAGCATTGCTGAATGTGGTGTAACATATTGTTCATCAACTATTTGTCAAGGCATTTAGTGGGTAAACTGATTCTGATCTATCGCAGCATAATGCACACATGTTTTTCACTGATAAGCATAAATTCTTTAAAGAATAACAAGTGTGCCTGTCATTGTTATGTATTTGCTTTCCACTATCATAGTTTGTGCGTGTGGATGTTGTACACAATTGTCAGCTCGCATGGGTGACATTTTCATTTATTTTAGTTTTTAAATGTCCTATGTTTTATGTGCCTTTTATAATGAAAAAAATCAGTGCCTGTCAAGGGACAGATAAGCTTCATTATGTTTTATTTATTTTTATTTTAACTGAGCGCTAATAATATACTTTTAGATGCAAAAGCACAGAGAAAGAAGAATGTCTGTGTAAAAGGCATACAATCTAAAGCCCAGATCCTGCAAACATTTAGGCACATGCTTAAATTTATAGATATAAGCCATCCCACTGAAGTCCAAGTTAGTCAGCTACAGTCAACAGGATTATTCACATCTGTAAAGTCAAACGTGTGAATAAAAGTTTGCAGGGACTGTGTTAAACAGATCTGTTTGTAATTGCCAATGACATTCCTTTTTGTTGCCAACTCCTTTTTGTTGCCACAATTTCCTTAAAGCCCCAGTTGCTGAAATCATGATATTGCATGAGAATCTCAGCTTTCATTATGTTTCTGGCCCTCGAGGTTGCAGAAAACCTTGAAAAGATGCAGCGAACGCACCCTTAATGTCTCAGAAAGCGAGAAGGAACCAATGTTTTTAATATCTTTTGATCTCATGATTTTTTTGCTAGTGTAATTATTTTTTGGGGGGGTGGATATTTTTTGGCTCAATACTGAGACTATTTTTGCTTTTTGCTAACGTGTGTGGGTTTCTTTTTATTGTAGCCTTTTATGCTATCAACATTAAACTTATTTACAAAAGGTGGTTCAATTTAGGTCTTTCATCTCTACAATATAACACCAATTCATTTCAAATTGTATTGACAGCAACTGAAAATCATTTGCTTGCTTATAGGTGCTCAATCAGCTATGTGAAATAAATTCTTGGTTCTGATCCAAGATCATTGTCACCACTGCTAAAACCGACACTGCCAACATTATGGCTGAAAACCAAATAGACACTAAAACTATCATATCTTTCCCACCTCCTGAGATGACCCTGACAACAAGCCTACTGTGCATTGCAAGCTATTGTCATGCTGTACCTATGCAGTGGAAAACAAGCCATTAGGGATGGATTGTTTTCACAAACATTAAATTCACTTAAAGAAGGAGAGAGTTCAGAGAAAGAGAATGAAATAACTTTGAAACCTTGCCAGGAAAGGTGGGGGAAAGCCTTATCTGGCTTTTGACCAGCAACATGTATGTTGTAGTGTCACCTGAAGCCAGAGTCAGTGATTGTAGATCTGGATTTTATGGGCATAAAATGTTTAAGCTTAATTTTAAGATAATGATGTGTGGGATACTTCTCTTCATTATTAGGAGCACTCAAATATTTACTTGCAGGTCACTTCAGAGATATCAATTAAGTTAACGAAAGTTTATCATAGAGTCTAATCCACGGTTTTATGTAAATATGTAAAGGAAATGGTCTTTTTTAAAATAACTCAGCTCTCTTTCTCCCCACCCACATGAAATATTTACAAAACTTTTTGCTAAAGCTAAGCAAGTCCAAACCTGTGAAATGTAGGGGCTAGATTTCTAGAGTGCTCAACTTGCAGTTAAAAGATTTTCAGGAGTGTGCAGCAAGTCATGAAAATATTGCTTAAAAAAGGAAAATGTACTATACAGCTGGTTGGAAAATATGCACATAGGATGGAGTTCCTGAAATTATAGTTTTGTTAATACATCTCCTTTCTGCCTGGGATTACCAAGGTGTTACAAATGGTCATACAATCAAATATAGCAAGTTAATATTTAAACTCTACATTTACAAAAGCATTTGTTATCAGTTTGCAGAAGACATCAAACAACTGAGAATCATAATCTTGGCTATTAATTAAAATCCTTATTCCTTCTTTCATTGCAAAAACATTTGATCCTTGGTTAGCAGGGGAACCTTGTATGAAGGGTCTCAGGTATTTTCAGTGTTAACAGAACAACAAGTATTATGTGGGAGTTTCTAAAGGGGATGTGGTGTAGAAGAATAAAAGAAACGTCTTTCAGTTTTCTGGTTTCCTTTCATAGAAGTAAATATTAACATTTGAACAAAGAGTGATTAAAAACGGCTGTGCTAGAAAACCGCATGTGGTGGGGTGAATAAGGAGTTATGAAAACGAGAAGCAATTCTTACCAGGTTAAAAACTAACATTTTTCTGTGAAAAGGTATTTTAACTGGTAAATTGAACAGTAATATGTCAATAGGACCAGATAGTATTCATCCAAGAGGATCTCAGGGCTAACTGTGCTTATGTAACCTGTCACTTAAAGTTGCTTCATATCAGATAATTGTAGGGTAGCTAATATAACACATATTTTTTAAAAAGTTTCCAGACAAAATTCTGGCAATATAAGCCTGTAAGTCTAACGTCAGTACCAAGCAAATTGGTTGAAACTATAATAATGAACACAGTTATGAGATGCATAAATAAATACAGTAAGTTTGGAAAGAGTCAACACCACTTTTGTAAACGGAAATCTATTAGAATTCATTGAGGAGGTCAACAAATGTGAACAAGGGTGATCCAATGTATACAGTGTGCTTGGATTTTCAGAAAGTCTTTGAGAAGGTCCCTCAACAGAAGCTCTTAAGGAAAGTAACCAGCCCTGGGATTAAAAGGGAAGATCTTCTCATGGATCAGTAATTGGTTGAAAGACAGGTTGCTATCTATAGGTCAGTTTTCACAGCAGAGAGAGAAATAGCTGACCCCGATAGAATGTGTACTGGATCAGTGTTATTCAACATATTCATAAATGGTTTGGAAAAGCAGATGAAGTGTGAGGTGACAAAATTTACAGATGATACAAAATTACCCAAGATAATTCAGTCCAAAGCTTACAGAAAAGAGATACAAAGGGATCTGGAAACTGAACTAAACTGGAAAACAGGACGACAAAATGGCAGATGAAATTCATTGTTGATAAGGGCAAAGTAAAGCACATTGGAAAACATAATCAGTAATATGTGTACAAAGTGTTGGGGTCAAAATTAGCTAGTATCACTCCAGAGAGATTTTTGAGTCATTCTGAATAGTTTTCTGAAAACATCTGTTCAGTATGCAACCATCGTCAAAAAAGATAACAATGTTAGGAACCATTAGGAAAGAGGTAGATAATACAACAGAAAAATTCATAATGCTGCTGTACAGATCCATGGTGCACCCACACCTTGAATAATGTGTGCCCCATCTCAAAAACATACATGTGAACTGAAAAGGGTGCATAGTAAGGCAACAAAAATTATTAGGTATAAAAAAGCTTCCATACAAGGAGAGATCCAAAAGACCGAGACTGTTCTGCTTAAAAAAGAGATAAGTGGGGAGGGGGGGCACTGACAGAGGTCTGTAAAACTACAGATGGTGTGCAGGAAGTGAATAAGGAAGTTTTATTCACACTGTCACACAAGATCAAGAGGTCACCCAATGAAATTAACTGGCAGCAGGTTTAAAACAAACTTAAGAAGTATTCCATACCATGCACTGTCAACCTGTGGAACTTATTGCCATGGGATGAAATATAACAGGGTTAAAAAAAAACTAATTTCCTGGATGATAGGTCAATCAATAGCCATTAGCTAAGATGGTCAGGATACAGTCGTGCTTCAGGTGTCTGTAAACCTCCAACTGCCAGAAGCATCTGGAACTAGTCGTTGTTAAAATCAGGATACTGGGCTAGATAGACCATCAGTCTGAACCAATGTGGCCATTCTAAATGAAAATGGTTGGTTTTCCAGACAGGGAGGAGTAAATTTGTGAATGAAGATGAAATTTCACCAGTTACTGTGGAAAACCAGTTTGCTGGAGGAGATGTGTGGCTACTCAGAAAAAAAAATAGATTATGTGTAGGGCTAATAATACTGCTGAGTTGTGCTCTGCAAGAGATTCAGACATGTAAAAGACCTTCATGTGAGAGGGTGTGTCTACACTACAGGGCTTTTTTCAAAAAAAGTGGCCTTTTTTCTAAAAAACTTCACAGCAGTTTTTTCTACCGCAGAAAACCTCATTTTACACCTGACATAGGCTATGTCTACAGTGCAGGCATCTTGCGCAATAATTTTTTGCGCAAGAGTTCTTGTGCAAAAAGTTCTTGCGCAAGAGCACGACCACACTGCCATGTGCTTTTGCGCAAGAGCTGTGCTTTTGCGCAAGAGCATCCATGGCAGTGTGGACGCTCTCTTGTGCAAGAAAGCTCTGATGGCCATTTTAGCCATACAGGTTTCTTGTGCAAGAAACCCCTGTTGCCCGTCCACACGTGCCTTTTTGCGCAAGAGCTCTTGCGCAAAAAGGCATATTCCTCATAGAAAGAGGAATAACTCTTGGGCAAAAAGCTCTGTGTTCTTATGATCTACTGTACTTTTTCTTGCGCAAGAATGCACTTGTAATAGTGTGGATGCTCCACAAGTTTTTGCGCAAAAACTCTGCAGTGTAGACGTAGCCTCAGGGAGAGAGTCATATGGTCACAAGTTAACATTGTGCAGTACATTAAGCGTAAGTCGTAGAGATAAAATTGTGTGTATGTGTGTGGTCCCAATAACGGTGTGTTGTGGCCTGGAAGGAATTGTTGCCTCTTTCATAAACATCCACTTGTCACGAAAGCCCTTACTGAAAGTTATTATCCTTATTATATGGCTGGAGATGTTCTCTTTGATCCAACTCACTCATAACGTTTTTCCTACAGGCTGCGAGAACACCACCGTGCTGCTATTAAGGTGATACGTCGGATGCAGTACTTTGTGGCAAAGAAAAAGTTTCAGGTACGTTTTGAACAGAGGTTTGGTTTTCTAAATAAACCCTTTTATATTCCTGGCTTATTGTTTCTTTTATGCATTTAAGAAAAAAGAGACTTGCACAATTCAAGTCCGTAATGGTGAGTCACACCCACTATTCTCTCTGTCCTTGAATAGGGTGGTTGTTTAGCAGCAGGTTAGTCAACTGTGGACATACTGGGAATAGGCTAAGCTGCTGAAATGCAGCCTGAATTAAAATGTTGTTTTCTGCTAATGGACTTGACCTTTCACCTGCTGTTATCTCCGTCTCATTCTTGCAATACAAACATTCTCATATGTCTTCATTAATTCTGAGTTGTGAGTTACTGTCATGCTGACTCAGTAGACTTAGAGATTAAAATACTACCTTAACCTTGTTTTCTATCTTGTACTCGATGTTAATGAAATCCTGATAAGGGATAGTGATGGAAATTTGTTCACATACTGCTAGGTTTTTGCTTCCTTTTTCTTGTTCCTTCTCCAAAAGTAAGAAACCCCTCTCCAAGTTCATGAGATAATCAGTTATCACTATGTCAGTAGCCTACATTGACATTTCTTCTGTTTCATTTTAGTTGCTGGTATTTTGGATACATAAGCATTTAACAATAGCAAATTAACTTTGGCCTGGTCAATAATAAGTTGCACCTGTCTGTCAAAGCTGTGGGTGTTTTAAAACCAATTTAGTTGACCTGATAGAAACCCCTGTGTCAACACTCTGTTTGATTTTAAACAGCTCATATCATATCATATCAGTTTAGCTTGTATCAGCAATTTACTAATGGAAGTCTTTGTGCCCTTATATTGCTTTGGCCTTTTGCAAATCTCCCTCTCTGTGTTTTAGTTTTACATTTTAAAATATAGGTCTTAGCCCCATTTATTGTAATTGCTAATTCGAATTAATAAATATATGGTAATACATTCAATTAATACATTCAAAAATCCTGGCACAATAGGCATAATAGGTAAAAGTTGCAAAAGGGGTTAAGTGGCTTGAAAACCTAAGTCCCATTTTCCAAAAAGACTTCGTCACCATTATTAATAATCATAAGTAGGGTGACCCGATGTCCACATTTTCAATACAGTCCCATAGTTAAGTCCTGGAGGTTTCCCAACTTTTTCTTAAAAATGGGCAAGTTGTCCCATATTTGTCGTCTTCTCCCCCCATCAATACTGGTGGGTCCTACTGTTGGCAGTATCCCTGCTCACCAGCTGGCCTCCCACCAGTGATGAGTAGGGGGTTAAGTGGCCGACAGTGACAATAGATATGCAAGGGCTGGTGGTGGGATGAAGATGCAATATTCCTGTAGCTGAAAGTAGCTCCTGTCCCTTTCCTCCTGTACAGTGCAGAAAGCTGCTGCTGGCCACATTCTGGTGTGAACCCTGACAAAAATCAGAGGAGGGCACGTAAACCCTCCCCACCCCCGACCTATATTACCGCAGGAAAATCTGGCACTATGTACCAGACGGGGGGGGGAAGCTGTCCTGGGGGCCCTCCCAGGCATGGAGGACCCAGAGCACAGGGCTTTAGCCACACCCCACCCCTCAGTGAGAGGTGTATTGAAGTGTGCATGTGTCACCTCTCCCCATGTATGAATGGGGGCTTAAGGGAGTGTGTGTTACTCCTCCTTGTGAATTCTAAAGCCTTAAAAATGGTAAATAAAAAGAATCCACCTACACAGTATTTCTTTTTAACAGGGGGTCAGTCAACCTGATGTTAATTTGAATGTTTGTACTGCATAGTTCTGACTGATTCCCATTGAACGTTCTTGAATACAAGTAATTTTACTAGGTGACCCATATTCAGCATAGGGAAATATGCCCACCCTAATCCTTAACAATACACTTCCCACCTTCAATACACACCATCTAAAATGAGTTTGTTACTCCTCCACTTTAAATGTTTGAAGGAATATGAGAATTATTGAAAAGTTGGTCAACAATTATTGGCAGCCCTTAAAAGCTCCCTATGTTAATAAGATATAAAATGGCACATTTATTTCTGGCAATCACAAAATCTAGGCCCTGATTTCACCAATGAAATGTATTAATGTTACAAAAATATTTTACTACTTTGCTACTGTGTAGTGATTTCTGAAAACAAAATCTCAGCTGGATTTTTAAATTTGGTACAGCTGGTATTGCCTCTTATAGTTAGACTTGCCTGATTCTTCCTAGTATAAGGCCTTGTCTCTGGTTGCTTATAACTTTGCCAAACCTTAACTGTTCAGGCTGAAACCTTCCATGCTGGGTCTTTGCCTCAGGCCACATTTTTCTGCAAAGTTTCAATTTAAATGGCTTAGCTGTTTCTGAGAATAAGATTAATGAAATATCCAGTGTTCTGCCATATAAAAAATAATTCTTACACCCAAGTAGCTGAGAAAATCTGGTTTCTCCATGTTTTGGGGGCAGGGACTTGAAATTCGAAAGGAGTTCATCGTGATGTCAGAGATGTGCTTTTCTGATGTTACTGTGAGAAACTGCCTGAATTTGCCGATTTTATAAAGCTTTGATTTACCCACATTCTAGAATCTGGTTGTGATGCCAGTTGCTGAACCATTCCTCTCATAGGTTTAGACCCTGAAAATATTTGTTTTGACTTAACAGTAGTTCCACACCTTATAATCTACTTCCCACCTGGGATTTGTCAAAAACAGATTTTAAAAATGCCTGATTATCTTGTACAACATTATCTACCTGGAAAGTAAACTAAAGTCCTCTGTAACAGATCAGTTGTTAGACAGAAGCTGAAAAAACATTGGACTGAACAGAATGGGACTATTCTTTTCATACTTAAAATTATTTGTGCTTGGTACCCAATTTGCCAACATGGCTCCTCCATTCTGCTATATGTTTTCCCATCTGCAAGAAAACATGTTTCGCACTGTCTGTCCAAATTGCGTAAGGATGTTGTCTAACCTTCCCAGCATGTATAATTATTTTTTAACAATTAGTCTTAGCCATTCAAAATTAATGAAGAGTTGTCAGCTGACATCTAAATGAAATAGACCTCAAGACCATTCTACATGCTAATGATGTGCTGCAGAATCTTCCAATTAAGTTTTATTTGGAGCTATCCAAAACTTCCAGATCTCTGATAATAAAGTTAGGGGTTGGTTTTCCAAAAAGTTCCAAGGTATTTAAGGGAAAATTTTCAAAAAATGTTCTACTTGTCTTAAAGACCACAAATGCCATTGAATTTCAATGGGATTTATGCTTCTATTATGTGTTTTTGAAAAACTCGCACCAAATTGGGAGAAATCAAGCATTCTTCCTTTGAGTGTACATTATATTGTAAATCTACTTTGTTCTATTGTAGGCCAGAAAGTGGAACCTTAAAGGAATAAAATGTTTAGAGTTAAATATGTAAAGTGTCTGCTTTCCGTGGAAAATGTATGTTTTTGTTGGTGTTGAAAATCAAGATGTTAGAAAATAAAAAAATTTGGACTTAGTACAGAGGGACAACTTGTGCTTAAAGTTAAGTGTTTGCAAGATCAGTGCCTAAATATTTATTTTTTATGCGTCCAGAAGTTTGATGTTGAAAGAATAAAGAAAATGTCCCAAATGTATTCAAAATAGGTCCCAATGCAGCAAGGTGCCTAAGCTGTGCCAGATCTATTCAGGATACACCTGTCTATCAAATTCTGTGAAGCTACATGTTGTTTATGAAAAAGATATCAGTCAACAAGGGATGGTGGGGCTGCCAAGGACAAATGACAATCAGAGCTCAGTTTCAAAGACTTGTTAAAAAGTCATTGTGAGAAACCAAATGGAGACTACATAGACATGTCCAATGGCTTGAAAAGTAACACCAAAAGACAACTTCATTTCTGAGGAAAGCAGAAATGCATGCTCCATTTGGAGGCCATTTTATAACACAGCCCTCTAAGTCTAATGGCATCACTAGGCACGGCCACAGAGCATAATAGTCTTTCAATAGAAGTTTTTAAACTATTCTATAGAATTCTACAACAAGGATATTAATCACTAATAAAGTCTGTAGGATTGCTTAAAATCATGTAGAAGCTTTTTCACCCCTTAGCAGAAAACCAGCACAAGTCCTGTTTACCACCTAGGTGCTGCATTGTCTCCACAAGGGTGAATACATCACTATTGAGGGAAAGGTTCTATAGCAGTGTTTCTAAAACTTTTTAAGACCAAGGAACACCAAACAATAATTTTTTTTATGGACAACACCAAGGATTTTTATTGCTGAGAAAAAAAAAAAAAAGGGGGGGGGGGAGGCTTGTCCCTTTAAGGGTGGCCATTTTGAATTCTCTTCTCTCCACAGCACACTGTTCTATAGAGTCTACTAGAAAATGGTATGTTGAGGGCTTAACAGGATCATGGGTAATGCCTTATGTCAGTTAGGGGCAACCAAGGTTAGTCAGTGGGCTACAGGAGTGGCCCTTCTTAATCTCAGTGGGCTGCAAGATTGGCATAACCAAGATCGACTCCTGGTATAAGACCGTTTTGTTAACTGCATATGCATACCTAAAATTTTTTTGGGGGGGAAGCTGATTGATTGGATGCAGAGGCAGCTCACAGTCAATGTGTGCCATCAGCATGCACCTCACTTCACATACCCTTGCTTTACGTGTGTGTCACTTTTGTAATACAGTTAGGGAAAAATACCTATGTAGATGAAAACCAGCAGAATCTGGCAACCTTGTGCATGGGCACAAAGTAAACAAAAAGTCTTGCGGACCACACATAGAACCCCAATTGGCTGCATGTGGCCCTCAGGCCATAGGCTGCCTACTGCTGTCTTAAATCTTATTCCATCCCTCTGCACAAGAGTGAATTTCACACATAAGGAATCAATCAACCACTTCTAGTACAGTCTAGTTTATCCACACTATAATTTATTCTCAAAGCAGAGTACAATTCTTGAACGTCCTATTTAATTAATTCATGAGCATAATAACATTTTTACATGCTGTTACGATGGTGAAAGCTTTTAAACTCCTGGGCTCAAATTTATGTGCACT